CAGTCCATAGCTACTTTTTTTTTTAATTACTCTATTTTTCCTGCCAGGGATGGGGAGAAATCTTTTGGGATTTTTTGCCTCAGCTACCAAACAAACTTGTCTGGTGTTGGATACTGTGGAGCTTGAGTTAGCTGAGCAGTGTTGCCATTTTCTGTGCTGCTTCAGGCAGCAAAATACCTTGGAGAAGATTGTGTGTGTTGTGTGTGTGTGTGTGTGTGCAAGATGTGTGTGGGGTGTGTGTGTGTGAAGTCCCCTCTTCTTTGCACACCATTGTCTCCATTCCTGATTTCCTGCCTTCTACACCTTCCTGAATGAGAGACTGAAGAAGGATAATGGAACTTGAAATTTGGTGTTCAGTTGGGCTTATACTAGTGAGTCATGGGCTCCAGGAACAGCAGTTAGTGCTAGTGGCATACCAGTGCTGAGAAACACTATGGCCAGGAAGATGTTGTCAGAAAGTCCATTATTAAAGCTGAAAGTATGTAACTGTTGCAGGGATGTGACTAAGGCAGCCTCTTACATTTTTGCAAAATCAAACTTCAAGGGAATCCTGTGCATAATAGGCATATCTGAGGGACAAAAACTCCTACTGTGACACACAACACTTTCCTTATTTAAGGATTTTCCCCTTCTAATCATGACTACTTTTAGCATCTGTTTCTGGTCTGATTACATCTCAGAGGGCCTCTCATGGACTATAAATGCCAACATGCTAGTGAAGAAGGCATAGAAGAGGCTGCATTTCCTGAGAATGCTCGGGAAGTTAAAGTTATCTTAGCATTTACTTCTGTCCTACTATCGTAGCGCCATTGAGAGTGTTCCAAGCTATGGCATTCTGGCATGGTTTGGGAGTAGCTCTGTAGCGGACAAAAAAGCTCTACAGAGAACCATTAAAATTGCCCAGAATATCATCGGGCTCCAGCTACCAACCCTGGATGACATCTTCACATCCCGCTGTCTGAGGAAGTCACACAACATCCTGAGAGACTCTTCCCATCCTGTTCACAATTTTGAACTGTTGCCGTCTGGCAGAAAATATAGAACAATTAAGACTCAGACCACATGTTTTCTGAACAGTTTTTATCCCAGAGCTATAATTGCAATTAATAATGAGCTTAAAGACCACCAGTAGTGAATAGTTAGTTGGACAATGTTATTTAGCCTGCGGTGTAGATGTCTGTATTCTTAGTGGGGGATTTTTAGTGGGTGGGGAGTGTTTGGGGAATTTTTATGTGTGTGCATGTGGGTCTGGTCTCTGGGTGCCTGTGTGAATTTCGTTGTATGGTATACCATATATATACTTACAATGACAATAAATTTAATAATAAAATAAAATAAAATAAAACAAAACAACAACAACAACAATGATGATGATGATACAACTACTAACAGGAGTGTAGACTAGGCCAATGTTGGCAATGTGGAGAAAATGCACCTGAGGAAAGGGCAACATCTAGAAAGGCTCAGAAAACAAGGATGAGTGGGGATTTGCTTCCTATTCACATTTCCCAGGAGCTATGGCTGTTTCCCAACATTTTCTGTCAAATGCCAAGCCTCCTTGAAAGGCATCACTATTATAGTTAACTGTGGACTACCATGTTTTTGTTCTGAAGTACAATGTGTACCTATACTGCTGTTTTATTAGCATTAAGAAGAACCTGCTCCAGCAGTTGGCTGACCAAGCCCTGGCTTGGATGCTGATGAGTCATAAAATTGTTGATAGATGGAGTAGCATGCTGACTAACAGCTCTATCCCACTATGCTTGGCTGAGCCTAGAGAAACGTCTGTTCTACTACAAATTGCAACAATATTCTGGTGAAAAGTGAGGACAGGGCACCTCAAACTCCTGCTTTGTTCTTAAGCCATAACAGAAAGCCATGGCATATTATTATTCCTTAAATCAGTACATATATGCCCAAATCTTTGGCACATTCGTATGCCATATGTTTATCATGGCAAACTCTTCCAGACTACTGCTGTGCCCAGGCTGCCATAAAAAATAACATGGAATGATACCTTCTGCTTGTTGTCTTAAAAAAGCAATGACTTTGATCAGGACACCAGAATAAGGAAGCTTACACTTTTTGTTTGTTTTAGTGTTTATCCTGCCTTTTCTGAACTAAAATGAAAGTAGCTTAGAACATAATTCATAATTCTTCCACTCTCTCAACACTTCCTTTAAGCAGCCAGAGGTACTATTTTGAGTTCAGCAGCAATGGAGAAAGAATTTCTTTCTTTCAGAAAAGTCTTCTTCATTGAAGGTCTCCAGATATTTAAATTAACAACTGGTTTCTTCAATGTGGATTAATTTTGTCTATGGCCTGCTGCACAGAAGCATATACTACTCGTGGTTTCTTTAGACTATCCTTTATTGTACAAAACAAAGGTAATGAAGAGTGACCAAGGAAGCTCAAAGCATAGCTTAAGCAGAGTTTTGTGGTTTGTTTCCAGGGTACAGCTAAACACGTCCAGTGAAACAGAAAATGGCAGGTCTTATTCCTTCCCCTGCAAAGATGTACAGCACTGAAAGTTTGACCAAGTTGCCACCTGATGGAGATGTCTCATCTAAGTCAGGTCCTCTCCTGAGGATGGACAGCAGGAGGAAAAGCTGCCACCACCACTACCATCACTATCACCATTATAATTATTGTTGCCACTGTCATTAACGTTACCATCATCATAATAATGTAAAAATTTGCTGCCTTTTCATGACAAGCAGAGTTTTATCCAAATAGAAGAGCATGGCTGAGGAAAGGGCCCATAACTAGAGATGGGGGTATTCATATATGAATATCCCTGCACAAGCGGAAATAATGAGAGTCTGGCCCATTGGGGCCAGAATGTCCACTCATGGTTTTGCTGCTGCTGCCAGCTCCACAGAGGCTTCCTATTGCGCTGTTCTCCACAATGGATTAGCTACTCTCCGCCCTAGCAGAGAGGCTTGTCATCTGGCCTCCTGACAGGACTGGGTAATCGATTGCGGACAATGGTGTGATAGGAAGGTCTGACGAGCTCGCGTCAGTGGCAAAATCATGAGTGGACATTCTGGTCCCAATGGGCCAGAGCCTCATTATTTCCACTGTTGTATAAGAACACCCCCTTCTCTAATTATGGGCCCTTTCCTCAGCCATGCTCTTCTATTTGGATAAAAGCCTACTTGTCATGAAAAGGCAGCAGGTTTTTACATTATGATAATGATGATGTTAATGATAGTTATTTCCACCTGTGTGGGGATATTCGTATTTGAACACTTTCTACCCATAACCATTTCCTGTCCTGCCTAAACTCAAATGGACTTTCCCAAATGGACTTTTCATTTACAGCTACAAAAATACAAAGCAACTGGGACTTCACAGATTTCCCCTTCACGTAATTCTTCAGGGTCCTACTCTACTAGCATTCCATGTAATAATAATCATGTCCCGTCAAATAAATTCTGACTTATGACAATGTTTTTTCAGGGTTTCCCAGGCAGAGAATACTCAGAAGTGGTTTAACATTCCCTTCCTATAGGGGTGCCCTGAGACTGTGCAGCTTGCCCAAGGCCACACAGGCTGGCTTTGGCAGGAGACAACAGTGGGGAATTAACTCTCAACTTCTCACTCTGCAGCCAGATACCTAAACCATTGAGCTATTCAGCCACCTACTAGCATTTAAACACCATGTTAAAAGACAAAAACATGATTCTTTTCTAAGCATTTAATGCCATTTGATTTAATCAAGTTCTGCTATTTTGTGATGCTGCCTACTATACTGTGCTTGTTTATTTTTAATTGAATCATATTTGTAAACTTCTATTTTTATTTTGTTTTTATAACAGTTTGAAACAGTTTGAAAGCTGCTTTGTGGAACAGCCACCAGAAAATTATGTAAAATATGTTAAATAAATAATGAAATAAATATGTAATGGCTCATTCACTCATGAATAGACACAGAAATTCATACAAAGCAATTCCCTTAATAACTGCATTAGTTACATATCAGTAAATATTCTCTCAGAGCTGCTTTTGTTTGTTGACTGGTAAACTGGTTTCTCTGGAAAGATTCTCAAGATATTGAGAGCTAAAACCACCAGTGTTTCAATGGATGCTACAGACTTCCTAATAACTTGAAATGAGTTCCCCTAAGAATCTTAAAACGAGTCTCCCTAAAATCCCAACTATACCCACTTTTAACAGTGCATGATCATAGGAATTGGCTGGAATCTTCTGTTAAAATGGTACACGCTGAATGATTATGAGGAAGGGAAGGGAGAGGGAAGGTGTTGGAGACCAGTGTTGTCAGGTTTCTCAGCGGAAATCACAGATTATCAGCAGAGTATGTGGCGGTTCAGGCAGTCCAGTAATAATTCACATGCAGTCCAGCAGCATTTCTTTCAGCATAGTGTATTTACATCAATATATACAGCAGTCTGGCAGCATAGCAGGCAGATGTGATCTTCAAGCAGGTGAAGATATAACTAACTGTACAGCTCTACATATATACATACACACAACCAATCAGGTTACAGATTACATCATCCCATTACTTCATCTCTGGGTTTTATCAGCCTGGGTTACATCATCTCTGCTGAGTCACCCTGACTCAGTTTCAGCACACCTGACAGTTATGGCTTCTCATTATAACACTTCATTCTGGTCAGGCCTACAATTTTCCTTGACAAGTGTAAAGAACTGGGGGAAAAGAGAGAAGGCACTGAAGTGAGGATAGGACTCATGGGTTTTAAACTTAGATAAAGCTGGGCACATTTCCTCGTTATTATTATATATATTATAATGGGTATTTTACATAGTGAAGTTGGAAATTTGATGGCATTTCATCTATGTACATTCCACTGAGAATATGAAGCATGAAAGTATGTACTTTCAAATTATACTATCAAATAACTTTATTTCTCAAAAGCAAACCCAGGCTCCTTGGCATGGATTTAGTAGCTGAATTCTTGCACTGAGAAAATAAATAGTAACTAAGAGTAGAAGCACTTCCCCTCAGGCTATAATATTTTACCACAGAACTTTTACTGTCATTGCAGGCAGAACACTTAGCGTCTGCCTACAGCTGAGATTACAGGTCTTTGTTTCCAGTTCATACAAATTTGCCAAGAGGTTTGGTTTTAAGTGTATATATACCAAGCCTCAGGCACGGCAACAGTGTTATTATTCTGGAGAATCTGAAGTCAAACCAGTGCTACATTAAGAAACAGCAGAAATGGCACGAGAAGCTGAGGGCAATAGCCTCTGAAAATGGCCTCCACGTAAAGGCAACTTAATGTGCAGAAGTTGGTCCTTAATTTTTTGCTTCTGGGAAATCCAAGAGGCAAATTTGATGCTACGGCAAAATGATCCACGTGTTTTGACATGTGTTTTGGCCACGCTGAACAAGTAGAAAGTACACATAATGGCATGATTTCCTTGTTGAATCCTCCCCTTCACCACTCTCCTCCATCCAATTTTTTCTTGACAGAACTTACTCTTAAGGTTGCATGCACACATGCTTAGAACCTAGAGGCAGATAGAGAAACACAGACACACGCTTAAGAAATGCTTTTGGACATCAATTATACATTTCACACTCACAGGAGGTAGCACTGAGTACTAGTTTAAAATGTTGGGCCAGGACTAAAGGGACTTGGTTTGAATTCCTACTTGGCTGTGAAGCTCACTGGGTGCCAGTGACTTACCCCACAGGATTGTTGTGAAGTTACACTAGGAAGAAGAGGGACGTGTATGCCACCATGAGCTTAGTGAAGGAAAGGTGGACTATAAATGCAATAAATAAAATTTCAGTACAATTCAGATCTAAAGAGGAAACTCATTCTGGTTTGTTTTCTGCTTTCCTTGTTGGCAATGATGAAAAAAATAATGGACAGCATTTTTGACAGAAACATATGAAATCTGTAGGCAAAGTAGTCTATTCTGAACAGATAAAATATGTAAGTATAATAGTCAACTCTGAAGGGATGAAACTTATGAAATAGACAAATAAGGAGACAGATTTTTCTTCAAGGAAATTTAACTTTTTTAATGTGCCCCATTGTCTTTGTGTCTTTTGTGTGCACCATGATACGTAGCATAAAGGCCTTTCAAGCTAACTGCCATGCAAAATTTCAGAAGGAGAGTTGCTAGGGCTAGAGAATTATGATGAACAAAATACAACATTTTAGGTTGTGGGGGCTGATTGCAACACCTCTGTTGTGTCTACCACTATTCTTCCTGAAACTGCCTCCGGGAAACAATGAACTCTGCCAGACATTTGCTTCCTTTTGTTTCAAACATGACAATGTGGGCAAGATTTTACCAAAATCTGAAATATTGTCTATGGTCTACACATTACATGACATGCACATAAGTCACGTAACATTCCCACACAATAACTCAGCCACACACACACACACACACATTATAAACTGTTATTCACTTTCTCAGTCTCTTTCACACACATACATTACTAATGATACTGGGACTATATCTGATTTGCTTCTGTACAAGCAACTAGAGAGTTTCCTTCATTGTTTCTAAGGCAGCAGGCTAGCTTAGGAATAACAGCTCAGAAAAGCTCATGTGACACACCTTCCCACCATTTCCCACCCAAAGTGAAAAATGTCCTTTTTAATTGTACACTTCATAGAAGTCTCGAAAATCCTTGAGAAGAAACAAAAGTCAAACAATTCATGTGCTGATGGAGAGGTGTGAGATTTGGAGGCAACATGAGCAAAGGCTGCAGATATTTGCTCGTGCTATTTCATTATGGAGATAACTTCAATTTGCCTAGAAGGCAACATTACCTCCAGGTAAATTACATTCCCTCAGTAAGAGCAAACATTGATCCAACTGAGCCTGGGCAGAGCAAGAGAAAGCAAACTTACGAGTTGTAGGTATAGGCTTGGCGCAGTCAAGTTCCCTTGCCTGAGCAATGCTGGTGCAGATGCGTTCTCATGTAAATGACCAGCTTGACGTCTCTCCTTTCTTCCCCAGTGACATTTAAGAACTCCAGAACACCTTTAAAAAAATGACAAAGAAGAGAACCCATCTGGGACAATAAAAACAGTTATTTAATTTGGAAATAGGATTCCACTAAATTCAAAGGAGCGCCACTTTTGAGATGAGAGACAAGCTAGTTGTGTGGTCAATACAATATAAAATACAAATGCAAAAATAGAAGATACCTTGAGATGCTTTTTGTTTTTGTCCCAGCCAATGATAACATATTGAGGTTTTAAAAAAAGTCAGATAATACAAGTAATCAGCATTAAGGACATGAATTCTGTAACCACACACACATTTTGGGGTTGATGGGACATCTTACTACTGTATTATTAAGATAAATCTGAATGTGGCTTGGAGTACAAAGGTAACTTGCAACCAATTATCATACTTTCTTTTGATTTTGTAATGAAGATTAACTGTGGGTAACAATAAAATACTTCTCTGTTATTTGAGAGATGCCCTTAATATTTAATTTTTTTAAAGTAACTAAAGCTACAATATATTCGCCAAGGCTTTCATGGCCGGGATTTAATGGTTGTTGTGGGTTTTTTGGGCTCTTTGGCCGTGTTCTGAAGGTTGTTCTTCCTAACGTTTCGTTTCATTCTGAAGATGCCGGCCACAGAGAATGGCGAAACGTTAGGAAGAACAACCTTCAGAACACGGCCAAAGAGCCCAAAAAACCCACAACAACCAATAAAGCTACTTACTTTACTCTCAGAGATTGTGACTGAATGTATCATCATTCTTATGGACTGCCAGTCCTTTAACACTGCTTTACTGTTACAGTATTCCCTTCTCTTAAATGTCCTCTCTTTCTATATCCACTATGACTTCCCATATTTGCAGAGAAAAAAGGGAAACAAATTCAAGGAAATAGTGCTACAACCTGCGTCTCTTTGTAGAATGTGCAATTACCTCCTGGCATTCACTAACATGAGGTGCATTGATGTCAACAAGATTAGATGGCTTTAAATATGGAACAAACTATGAGTCATGATAGCTAAATGGACCTTCTGCACTCAGAAGCAATATACTTATGTGAAAGCTTAGAAAACGTAATGTTTGTGGGCCACAATTTCCAGAGTCCCCCAGCCAGCATGTGGAAATTGTAGGCAAAACCCCCACCCTATTCTCATGCTCTGCATAGCAGGTAATTCTAGAGCTGAACAACAGAAGGAAGATTGTGACATTAATTTTCACTGGCTGTTTGTCTTTAAGATGGCATGGTAATTCAGTGCACACTGAAAGGAGAGGCACAGACTCGTATGTTTACTCATGCATTTGCATAGTATTGTAAACCAATACTGAAAGTAATAAAATGACTTCTTTTCTTTTGATGTCTATTATGGAGAAATTTTAATTCATTTTGATGTCTTGTAAATTTTGCCCCACTTTGCATACCAAATAATTACATCAAGGTGATCTTCACCATATAGCAGGACCAGAACTGATATTTTAACATTAACAACCTTTGAATTATAACGAATTTGCCCCAGGAGGCAGCTGCTGTGAATAGCAGCCACAGCAGTTTTCCATACTTTGATAGTGGCTGGAATATCTCAGCCTTGAATCATACTAATTTATACAGCAATTTCAAAGAAGTTACTTCTGGAACAGAGGGAATCAGAAGCTTATATTTACACTATGCATTTTCATAGAAATGCAGGATAACAGCCAGTGGACATACAGTGGAGATGTATAAGAGTGGTTCAATGGGCAAATTACTGTAATGGGCAAAATCTTGTTGTGTAATTTTGTGCTGGCGTAAACTGGATTGGATGCCTGGAAGTATGTAATTTAAACTAATGGGAATCTTATCCGCTCCCATTTTAGTTTCTGAGGCTTCCTGGGGCTCCCTTTTGCCCTAGGGAATCCTTTGGGAGCTTCAGGACAGTGTGTGTGTGCACTTTAAAAGCCAAAAAATCAACACCAGATCACAGCAATTTTTTTTACTATTAAGGACTTCTGCCCCCATAATTCCAAGGCTTGCAAAGGGAGGGCAAAATGGAGCCCTAGGGAACCTTGCGATAAGAAACTTCTAATTAGTGTAAATTAAATGTTTTCCAGCACCCAATCTGGGTTACACCAGCACAAAGTTATGACAACAGGGTTTTGCCCAATATGTCCTGGCACCTATGAAGTGTAAATGTGACCTCACTTGTTCAAACACTGTAGTAGGAATGTTTTTTTTAAGTATGTAAGAAAGGGAGAACAGTCTGTCAGAGAACGCTCCAAGAGATTTTGATACAGATTCTGATTTTTTTTATTGGTACCCAGTTATGAAAGTATTTAATTAAATTTCCCCCATTCATAAGATTGGCGCACTCTCATTGGTCTAAAAAAGTTATGCTGCATAGGCCAAATCTGACACCATAATTATCCCACTCCCTTTCAGGTTCAGATGCTCTCTAGGGCTCCCCTTTGTTCCATCTTTGAGAGCCTTGGGATGGAAGGAAGAGCCTTTAATTGTCAAAAATTGGTGTTGGATTGCCCTGGCAGTCTCAATCCTAGCAGCGGTGGCCTGGCAGTAATGTTTCCCTATTAAAGGCTCCCCTGAGAAAGTCTTGTCTTGTGTAGTCAACAACCTAGCTTCATATATTGGTGGGAAGTACAATAGGGTTGAAGATCTTAAATTCTGGGCAGATACATATTGGAGGAAATGACCTTTTTAACATACAGGAAAACAATTCAAGCACATTAATATTTTAGGGGAAAAAACAGGAATAAAAATTCATTGCCAGTTAAAGCTCAAATGCCTGATGGAAGAGAAATGTTCTGACTTGTCTTCTAAATGAGACCAAGGTGGTTGTCAGAAGGATGTTCTGTGGCAATGTATGCTACAAATGAAAAGAATCTGTCTGGAATCCTGTTCAGCATGAGCGATGCATAAAAGTCCTGTTAGCACAGTGATGTGGGATCTCTCACTTGCACAAGCAGTACCCTGATAGAAGCAGAGGTTCCAATTACAAAAGCTGATTTACATTTCTGCAAGGACCTTCTTAATATATTTTTTGCATGACCTCCAAAAAAGTCAAACCATTCTTGATATTATCACTGCACAAACTGTTTAACAGAACAGGATGATACCCTCCATTCCAAATGCAAGCAGGTCTTGGGAAGAAAATTTTGCACACACGGCTTATGTTTTCAGCTGGAGGAGGCTCATCCCTTCATTTTAGGCTGAGCAATCCTCCACCAAGGAACTGATCCTAAAGCCCTCGAACAGCCATTCCCAACCTCTTTTTGGCCACAACGAACCCTACGAGGTGGTGTGTAAAGAACTGTTTCCACTCTGCCCCTCTTCAGACGTGCCAGGGTCCCCAAAGGGGCCATATGGCGCCCATGAGAATAGCTACCTTTGAGGCCTCTATTTAGGAGAGGGTATTCCTGAAGATCCTAAAGTCTCCAGTTAAGGTTTCCAAAAGTCAGCACAAGTACAGGAAGCAAAACCAATGCACATTGCAGGTAAGAAGGCAGCAGAAAGGCGAGGTCACTTAGTCCTGCCAGGCCAACCAGCATGGCAAGTAGTTGCTAGTATTGGAGGGCACTGAAGCAATATTAATTGGTGGACTGCCCTTTGAGACTCTAAATGGTTATGGGTTCCCACCAGGGCAGAGCTGAATATTCTCAGATGAGAAAATGAGGAGAAAGGTGCAAGCTGGGTGGTGGTGGTGTCAGCTCCTATTGTTTCTGTTCAGAAGGGGAATCTTGAATTTTGGGGGGCAGCGACTCTTTATGGAGGGGGCAGCTTTCTTTTTTCTTTTCTTTTAAAAAACCCAACCAACTTGATTCACTATAAGGATTCCCTTCTTCGAAGTCTGTGCTGCCAAAAATTTCCAAAATGCAGACATGGCTAAAACACCGAGGTTGCTAATTGTTAACATTTCTGTTCCGCTATTGCACTAAACCACCACCCACCCCGAAAAAAACCACAGAAGGGGACCAACATTAATAAAGTAATCAAATTCACGACCACAAACAAGTGGGACGACGAATCATTTAACTCAATAATGCAGTAAGCAGTTCCGAGGCCTAATAAAAGGAAACGACTTCCCTTCGTGATCTGAGCAATAGTTACAAGGGCCAAGGGAACGGACACCTCGTTCCTGCGTTGGAGGCGGTAACGATGGCCGGAGACAAGGGTGCTCCACCAGTACATACTTCCGATTCGATACGACTCCTGTACTACGGCTTCCGCGCCGTTCTCAATGGGCGCAACCACAGCCGTTCGGCTTCAAGCGTAACACCGAGAAGACGGGAATCGAGGTCGAGCTACGCATGCGTTCGGGCACCCCTCCTTTGTCGCTGACTGCCTGATTGTGAAGCTAACGTTCCGCCAGCATGGAGATTTCGCTGGAGTCGTCTCTGATTGGCTGCTTGCTAACCAGGATTGCGCGACTACACCACGCCCCCTTTGGCTCTCCCTTTGAGGCGCGGGGGAGCCAATGCCAGCATTTCTCTTCAGCGAGCGCGCCCTCCTTTCATGTAGTTCCTCGGCTCGGATTACTTCCTCCACCCACCTACCCACCCCTCCTCCTCCCGGCTTTGGGGTGCGCGTGAGAGCGAGTTTGCGCGCGCCGTTTCTCTCCAACCTCTCTTCTCCCTTCCCTCCCTCCCTCCCTCCCCCCCGTTTCCTTTGGGCTCTGTCAGTGTCTCGCGCTCCTCCAGTCCGTTGGAGGCTCCGTTAAACGGCGGCGGGGTCCTATTTCCGTCTTTCCATCCCGTCTCCCCCCCCCCGCTTCCATCTCCTTGTCGTGCCGCCCCACCGTCAGCCCGGGTACCTCCGAAAGCGGCCGGTGCTGAGAGAGCGGACGCGAGAGCAGACGGAGGTGACCGGCAACCAAGCCGAGCCTGCGGGCGGGCAGACAGGCGGGCAACCCTGGCACCGGTTCGGGTAAGGCGAGGCTATGTGGTGGGGGGGGGGCGTCTGAGGGGAACTTGAGAGGATGCTGCGGCCGCAGCTGAGCTGGGCGTTGGGGCTTCGCTCCTTTCCACCCCATCCTTCGTGACGGGCCTGGCGCCGCAGCAGCAGCAAGAGCGGTTCTTGGTGTGGGGGTGGGTGGGTGAGGGAGGTTCCGTGAAACGAAGGAGCGGAAGACCAGAGGACCTTCTGTCCCTGGGACTGACAGGCTTGGTGGGAATGACATTCTCAGGGAAAGAGAAGAGGATGTCCTCTCAGCCAGGGCCTCGACTCTCGGAAGGCGGCGAGGATGCCTCAGGCCGAAAGGGGTAGGTAGATAGGTAGGTGGCTGGCTCAGCTTGGGGCAGCGGCGTTGCTACGTGGGTGCTGGGAGGAAGAAAACGGCGGCGGTGGCGGCGGCGGCGGCACCAGCGATGTAGTCCGGAGCGAGGCTGGTGCAAAGAGGAGGGAAAACGTGCGCAAACCAGAGCACCGAGCGTCGTCGCGCAGAGAACCGCTGCTCTTGGGTAAATGCAGCAAAGAGCAGTCGGATGTCGGCGTGCGGCAGTGGGGAGAGGTGGGGTTTGTAATCTAGGCAATAAACGGGAGTGTGTAGGGAGATCGGGCGTGGAGAAGGCGGGCGTTAATAATTGCGTCGGCAGATTTCGTACCCCTACTTTCGTACACCTCCCACGTTTTTAGAAGCGGTGGCTTTAAACTTTACTTTTTTCTGGGTACACACTGTAGCTAGTCAGTGCTGTATGTACTTTTGGTGCGGACGGAATGGTATGGTAAACAGATGCTAGATGCTCTTTACTGAATCGTAAAGAAAACATGCTAGGTGGTAACCATTTCTTTCTCTTTCATTGGGTTAGTTCGGTTGGTCATCCACTCTACAGACAGTTTGTGCTTGGCTTAATTGTTGTTTAACAGACAACATGCTACCTAAAAGTAAGGTGGGGTTTTTGTGGCTTATGTAATTGGTAATGTCCTTGGATATCTTCTTAATGTTTAGTTGCTTGGAAGTAGGTTGGGTTGTTTTGTTAGGGTGTGTTAAAACAGTGTTGAATAGAGAAAGTCTTGATTATATTGCTGCTTTTAAATACTTCTCAAAGTTCAAGAATAATCCCTGTGGGGGAAAATTCAGAAGACATGAAAAAATAGATAGAGGATTGTTAAAACTTCTGAAGATCAAAACCACATTTTCTTTCTTTATTTTCCGTTCTGGTAGCCTCTTGATATATTGTCAGTTGTTTCACAAAGAGATGCTATCATTGAGCTTCCCTAATTTGTTTTAGGCCTCAAGTTGGCAAATATTTACACATATTCTAAACTTGAGTTTGATAGTTTAACTTTTGGGAGTGGCCCTTTTAAGGAGGTTATTGGTACCAGTAAAACATAAGGAGGTGTGCTTGACCATCAGATACTAGTATTTCAAAGTGCTTCTGTGTTTGAAAATATGTTAGCTTCCAAAAAGCTTGACCAGTACCAAATACCTTATAGAAAATTGTCTCATATCTCAAACTTTAATATGTATTCTGGTGACACATATAAATACTGTTCAAAATTATGGAATTTCAAAAATTATTCACAAAATCTGAATAATGCACTAACATGGTAGTTAGAAGGAAAAGCTACTTTTTAGTGCAGTGACATGTATACCTGCTCAGAAGGTAATTCTGTTCAATGAGACTGACAATCAGGTAAATATGTACAGTACAGTAAGATAAGACAATGTGTATATAAAGACATAACTTGCTGGAAAAAAACAGTAATGCCAGTAAATGTTGGAAGTAAGTAGATAAAGAGGAAGATTGAATAAGAGATGGATTTACTCCATAAGGAAAGCCATCAACTTAAGTCCGGAAGAACTGACTAGCATGCTTAATGACAAGACCTTTTGGTGGTCATTAATATACTGTAGAAGATTACAATAAATTGGAAGTGAGTTAATGGCACATAACAGCAAACTAATGGCCATAGCTTTGGAGTTTACTTTTGGAGGGCTTTAATGCCTAATTGAAGATACTTGTTTGTTATACATGCTTATAAGATAATTATTTAAAATGGCTGTGTGGTAAGATAGAGATTTGTCAAATCAAAACTTTACTTTAATAATGTAGATTAATGGAGATCAGGGCTCCTCAGACTTGATAAAAACAGAAAGACTCAATTTTAATTTTCTTAGACACTTGGAAATGGTGAAGGGAAATACAGGATGCATGGGCAAGAGGCTATTGTTAATTTGGCACAACAGCCAATGTTTATGTAATAACATTTTGGGTATAGTAAGTTGTTCAGAGTATTCCTTGATTTTTTAAAATTTAGTGTCATTTTAGGCTGTTATTGCTTTAAGACTATAGGTTAGCAGGTCAATGTAGTTATGATAGAACCGAGTAGATATTTCTTTACTCTGAGATTCGCATGTTTACAGTTAAAACAAACATGTAAGGAGTGTTTGCACTTTTCTAAATAGAATAGGTTCCTCTATTTTATAGATATGGACAGTATAAATAACATCCTTTTAAAAAGTATTTGTTGTCATTTCTGGATAGTGGTAACGTGTAATTGGAAGGTTTGAATTATTTATATCTGTAGCTGGTATAGCTGTGTATTTAGAATGAAAAAAAGTAATCACAATTTTAAGTTGGTCTGGAGAGGGAGCTAGTGCCAAAGCAAAACAAAACTTATGCTAGAACCTTGCAGATTTTACAGATTGTTTCCAATTTGATTTTGGTTTGGTCACATTATAGATATAAAGATATTTGAGGGGAAATGCTATTTATGTTGTACTGTTTTTAAAGTACACATGAAACAAAATATGTTCATATGTCATGTTACATTAACAGTATGTGTTTGGGATTATATCTATAGTCAGTTGTAAATCATTGTAATTTACTGTTGTAAATTTTTAATTTTTAATATGTTTTGGATCATGATTGTCCATTTCAGTTTAAAATTCTCAGTTTGAAGATATTTTTGAGCAGTTTTTGCAGCTTGATCTACAATTTGTCAACATTATGGTACTTGGGTTTAAGCCTGTGGTTCCTAACCTTGTGTACCCAGAAGTTATTGGACTAAAACTCCCAGAGGCGCTGCCAATAGTTGTGCTGGCCAAGATTTCTTGGAGTTGTAGTCCAAGAACATCTGGGTACCCAAGGTTGGGAACCACTAGTTTAAGCTGATTTAGCTTACACACACTTATTTAGCAGTAACATTTTCCAGTGCTGTGGGACTTATGAACAGGCAAACATAAGGTTGTTCTGTTGGAGTCATTGACCTCAGTGGAACAAATCTACTTGCTGATTAGTTTTATAGCATGGTAATTTCTTACCTTCAGGCTACAAACTTGTGTACATATATATTTGAGAGTAACTCCCAATGGACATGAATGAAATTTGCTTCTGAGGAACATATGTGCATGTACCTTTGAAGCCTCATGAAGAAAACAGAAACTTTGAGCAGAGGATAAAATCTAGATCTCAGTATAAACTAGTCCTCCTTTTTGTTTGATCAATTTCCTCAAAGTAGCTTCTTTGTTTTGTGATGGGCCCTCCTTCAGCTGCCAACACAGTGACTTCATATAATAGTGGAAATTACTTTCTTGCTGTATACAGTTTTTTTTTCCAAGACCCAAGACATTGCATTTTGCATGGTGCCATACAACAGCGCTCTGTTTCTTACTGCTGTTCTCAATGTTGTTTTAAGCTATATTTTTGCTTACAGATGGGGTAATAAAAATGGAGTTGACAGATATTCTAAAGCTAGTAGCCACAACTACTGCCGACACATCTTGCATTCACGGGCGCCCATCAAGCCCCATGTCTGGTATTTAATATTATTGAGAAATAATATCTTGAAACCTCAACATGTGTTTTGAATGAAAGTACTGTACATTGTTCATTGTGGGAGTTGGTATTCTCCCCTTTCAGTCATTTTTCAGGCTGAACATGGTCAGAATTATGCACTGTATAGTCCTCAACTACATAACTTTGAAATAATAAACAACACATTTCTAAAATACAATATTATGGCTGCAATCCTATATTATTGTATTTTAAATGCTGTAAGCCACGCAGAGACCTTCGGGTAGTGTGGGCGGCATATAAGTTAAATAAATAAATAAATATTTCATTATCTGACAGTAACTCCTGTGAGGCACACTTCTGAGTGGACGTCTGTGGTTGGTATTACATTGCAGGTAATCCAACCTTAGTATAGTGATACCTCAACTTATGAATGCCCCTACATAAGAACATTTTGACTTACAAACAGCTCCATTTGCAAAATTTTGCCTTGACTTGCGAACGGAGCTTCGACTTACGAACAAAAATGAGAGGAAAGCGGGAAACGGACTTTGGACTGCCTGATACTGTAATTTTAAAATGTAAAAATTGGTTTAAAAGGTGCTTGGTTTGGTTTAAAGCTGCTTGGTTTAAAATGTGTTTTGTTTCAAAGGTGTTTGCTCCCTCCCTCTCTCCTTTCCTGCCCTTTTGCCCTAAGTTATCTTGGGTTAAAAAAATATTCTTCCCCTTCAATTTACAAATGGCGCCTCTACATAAGAACAACAATCAACAAAAAAACAGCCAGAACGGATTGATCGGTTTTCAGTGCATTCCTATGGGAAATGCTGATTCGACTTACAAATGTTTCAATTTAGGAACATCTTCTGGGACGGATTAAGTTCCTAAATCGAGACACCACTGTACTTCTTTGGGTGTGTTTCTGCCACTAAGACAATTAGTCTATACTTTGATCTGATTTTCACCTTGTGGTCTGCAGACGCCTGGGGGCCACGATGTCCTCTCAAGCGATCTGCAAAGGCTTGAAGAAATGTTATAATCTTTTGCATTTAAAATAGAAAGAAAGAAAGAAAGAAAGAAAAGGAAACATAGAATAAAACCTTAATTTGCCTTGCTTGTTTGTGTAAAACTTTGTATGGAATCATTCCAATAAAAATATTATTATAAAGTTTGAGTGTATTAACAGATTAA